TTCCTGCTGCTGCTGCTGTGTGTTCCTGCTGTTCTGTTCTGCTGCTGGTGCTGCTTGCTGGCTGTTTCCTGCCTGTTGCTGCCTGCTGTGCTGTCTGCTGGCCGTTCCTGCTTGCTGCTGCTGGTGTTCCTGCTGCTGCTGCTGCTGTGTTCTACTGCTTTGCTGCCTGCTGTGTGTTCCTGCTGCTGCTGTTCCTGCTGCTGCTGTTTCTGTGTGCTGCTGTGCTGCTGTGCTGTCTGCTGGTGCTGTTCTGCTGGGTCTGCTGCTGCTGTGCTGCGTGTTCCTGCTGTTGCTGTTCCTGCTGTGCTGGTGTTCCTGCTGTGCTGTCTCTGCTGTGCTGCTGCTGCTGCTGCTGTCCTGCTGTTGCTGTTCTGCTGCGTGCTGTTGCTGTTCTGCTGCTTGTTCCTGCTGTTGCTGCTCTGTGTGTTCCGCTGTGCTGTCGCTGGTGTTCCTGTTTGCTGCTGCTGCTGTGCTGCTGGTGTTCCTGCTGTGCGCCTGTTGCTGTGTTCCTGCTGCTGCTGCTGTTCGCTGCTGTGCTGTCCTGCTGTGTGTCCTGCTTTGCTGCTGCGTGTTTGCTGTCTGCTGTTGCTGTTCCTGCTGTTGCTGTCTGCTGTTGCTGCTGCTGTGCTGTTCCTGTGCTGCTGCTGATGCTGTTTCCCTGCTGTTGCTGCTGCCTGCTGTTGCTGGATTTTCGCTCTGCTGCTGTATTTGCTGTTCCTGCTGTTGCTGTTCCTGCTGTATGCTGTTCCTGCTGTTGCTGTTCCTTGCTGTTGTTCTGTTCCTGCATGTTGTCTGTTCCTGCTGTTGCTGTTCTTGTTTCGGCTTCTGTTCCTGCTATGTTGCTGTTCCTGACTGTTGCTGTTCCTGCTGTTGCTGTTCCTGTGTAGCTGTTCTGCTTTGCTGTTCTTGTTCTTTCTTGCTGTTTGCTGTTCGCTATACTGTTTGCTGGTTCCGCTGTTGCTGTCTGTGTTGCTGTTCCTGCTTTGCTGTTTGCTGTTGCCTGTTCCTGCTGTTGCTGTTCCTGCTGTTGCTGTTCTGCTTTGCTGTTGCCTTTGCTGTTTGCTGTCCTCTGTTTGCGTGTTCCTGCTGTTGCTGTTTCCGCTGTTCTGTTCCTGCTGTTGCTGTCCTGCTGTTGCTGTTTCCTAGCTGTTGCTGTTCCTGCTGTTGCGTTCCATGTTTGCTGTTCCTGCTTTGCTGTTCCTGCTATTGCTGTTCCTGCTGTGCTGTTCCTGCTGTTGCTGTTCCTGTTGCTGTTCCTGCTGTTGGGCTGCTGCTTGCTGTCCTGCTGTTGCTGTTCCGCTGTGTTGCTGTTTCCTTCTGTTGCTGTCGTGTTGCTGTCCTGGCTGTTGCTCCGTCTGTTCTGTTTCCTGCTGTTGCTGTTCCTGCTGTTGCTGTTCCTCTGTTGCTGTTCCTGCTGTTTGCGTTCCTCTGTTGCTGTTCCTGCTGTTGCTGTTCCTCGCTGTTGCTGTTCCCGCTGTTGCTGTTCCTGCTGTTGCTGTTCCTGCTTTGCTGTTCCCTGCTGTTGCTGTTTCCTGCTGTTGCTGTTCCCTTCTGTTGCTGTTCCCGCTGTTGCTGTTCCTGCTGTTTTGGGTTCGTTGCTGTCCTGCTTGCTGTTTTCCCGCTGTTGCTGTTCCTGCTGTTGCTGTTCCTGCTTGCTGTTCTGCTGTTGCTGTTCCTGCTGTGCTGCTTTTCTTTCTCTGTTGCTGTTTCCTGCTGTTGCTGTTCCTGCTTTTCTGTTCCTGCTGTTTGGTTGCCGGGTTTCTTCCTGCGTTGCTGTTCCTGTGTTGCGGGTCCTGCTTTTTTGCTGGTTTTTTCCTCTGTTGCTGTTTTTCCCGCTGTTTGCTGTCCTTTGTTGGCTGTTCCTGCTGTTGCTGTTCCTGCTGTTACTGTTCCTGCTGTTGCTGTTCCCTGCTTCGTTCCTGTTCTGGCTGCTTTCTGTTTCCCGCTGTTGCTGTTCCTGCTGTTTCTGGGTCTCTGTTCTGTTTCCCGCTTTGCTGTTCCTGCTGTTCGTCCTGCTGTTTTGCTTTTGTTCCTGCTTGTGCGTTGCGTGGGCCTCTTTTGCTGTTCCGCTGTTGCTGTTCCTGCTGTTCTGTTTTTCCCCGCTGTTGCTTGTTCCTCGTTGCTGTTCCGCTGTTCCTGTCCTGCTGTTGCTGTTCCTGCTGTTGCTGTTCCTGCCTGTTGCTGTTCCCTGTTCTGCTCCTACTGGTTGCTGTTCCTCTGTTCTGTTCCTGCGTTTTGGTTCTTCTGTTTGTTCTGTTTGTGTCCTTTCTTTTTGTTCTTTTTTTTTTTTTTTTTTATTTTTTTTTTTTTTTTTTTTTTTTTTTTTTTTTTTTTTTTTTTTTTTTTTTTTTTTTTTTTTTTTTTTTTTTTTTTTTTTTTTTTTTTTTTTTTTTTTTTTTTTTTTTTTTTTTTTTTTTTTTTTATTTTTTTTTTTTTTTTTTTTTTTTTTTTTTTTTTTTTTTTTTTTTTTTTTTTTTTTTTTTTTTTTTTTTTTTTTTTTTTTTTTTTTTTTCCCCCTGTGTTTGTCCCACGTTCTTTCCCTTTTCTTTCCTCTGGCGTTTCCTGCTTTTTTCCGCTTTGGGTTTTTTGTTGTGTTTCCTCTGGGGGTTTTGGGGGGCCCCTTCCTGCTTTCCCTCTTTTCTCCCACCTGGTCCCCTGCCCCTTTCGGCCCCCCGTTTGGGTTTCTCGTTTGCGGCCTTTTACGGTCCTCTTTGCGTTCCCGTTTTTCCTGTGTTCCCGTTCCCGTGTTCCCGGTTCGTTTCCCTGGGGCCCCGCTCGGGCCCTTTCTTTCCTGCGTCCCTCCACTGTTCTTCCCCTGTTCGTTTGTGTCTTTTCCTGCTTTGTGTTTTGGGTTGTTCCCCCTGTTGCTGTTCCTACTGTTGCTGTTCCTGCTGTTGCTGTTCCTGCTGTTGCTGTTCCTGCTGTTGCTGTTCCTGCTGTTGCTGCTCCTACTGTTGCTGTTCCTGCTGTTGCTGTTCCTGCTGTTGCTGTTCCTGCTGTTGCTGTTCCTGCTGTTGCTGTTCCTGCTGTTGCTGTTCCTACTGTTGCTGTTCCTGCTGTTGCTGTTCCTGCTGTTGCTGCTCCTACTGTTGCTGTTCCTACTGTTGCTGTTCCTACTGTTGCTGTTCCTGCTGTTGCTGTTTTTCCCCGGGTTAATATTTTCGTTGAGTATAATATTTCAGCTAATATTTTGGCGGGTAACGAGGCGACTTACTTAAAGACAGATGGTGTATCACCAGCTGTGACCTTCTATTGTGACCTTTTAGGAGTGTAGAACCAGTTGTGACCTTTTAAAGTGACCTTTTAGGAGTGCACCTCCTGCTGTGACCTTTTATAGTGACCTCTTTAGAGTGTACTACCAGCTGTGACCTTTAACAGTTTATTTCTTAGGAGTGCATTACCATCTGTGAATATTTTAAGAATGTACCACCAGCTGTGAGGTAGTTGTAGACTACGTCTACCATCTACTTCCATCTCTACTGCAAGTTCCATGGCATTGTTCAACTATGGTATATTTCCCTTGTGTTCCAGTGGCTGGAGGGAGTGGAGGGTGGGGAGAGAGCCTTCTGCTTTACCATCCTTGACTCACACACCTGGATAATACACGATAGTCCTTAATCCAGGTAGTAGTAGATAGTTATTCTCAGTAGACAGCCTCGACGAGGACTCACAAGTACTCTGCTGTCTGTCTTTCCTGTGTACTCTCATGTACGCCCGTGTACTCAGATGTACTCCACATGTACGCCAAATACAGCCTACGGAAGACCAAACCTCCACTTGTTCTTGCAGTGGAGCAGCCTCACTGTCTTACCCTGTCAAGATAATGTAAGATCACTCACTGTCTTAGTCAAGGTAATGTAAGATCACTCATTGTCTTAGATAGTCAAGGTAATGTAAGATCACTGCCCTACCCCATCAAGGTAATGTAAGATCACTGCCCTACCCCATCAAGGTAATGTAAGATCACTGCCCTACCCCATCAAGATAATATAAGATCACTGCCCTACCCCATCAAGATAATATAAGATCACTGCCCTACCCCATCAAGATAATATAAGATCACTGCCCTACCCCATCAAGATAATATAGGATCACACAATCTTACGTTGTAATAACAACGTATAAAGGTAAGTATTTGAACCACATTTCCAGTCTCCCGTTTTCTTCCAGCTCCTTAATTACATGGGGAATCGATCACCTGTGATAATTGGCGTGGAGTAGCGGCACTCATGCCAAAGCCTTCATACATGGCTGCAGCTGGAGGATAATTGTCATAAGCTGTGCTAATGGCCCCAGTTTGAGCTGTGGTAGTGTATTTAATTACACCTGGACGCGTCATTACAGGTGTAAAGTAAGGAATGTTCTTTTGAAATCTCTGGAAGCTTTTGTCGACGCTTCTGGTGTTAGGTGAACTTCCTGCTACTACTACGATTACTATTACTACTATTAATGTTACTAGTATTGCTTCTATTATCACTGCTGCTATTACTACTACTACTACTACTCCTGCTGCTACGATTACTACTATTACTACTGCTGTTACTGTTACTTTTATTACTACTGCTACTAAGATTGATTATTGCTACTACTACTACTACTACTATTAATATTTCTACTACTATTAGTACTACTACTATTACTACTATTACTCCTATTACTACTACTATTACTAATACTACTACTTTTGCCTCTATTACTACTACTATCACTACGATTACTATAATTACTACTACTTACTATTACTACGACTAAATTTCTACAGGTAACAGGTCCGGTGGGAAATCAACATTTATCATCATTCTTCAAGGAGTGTTAAGTGTTCTTAAATTACGATGATACCGGAAGAAAGATGTTGAGTTTGTGGAGAGACAGAAATATGTGACGTCACTCATCTGTCTCTCCACACCGTCTATGTGTCACAAATCTGTCTCTCCACACCGTTATGTGTCACCCAAAACTGTCTCTCCACACCGTCTATGTGTCACAAATCTGTCTCTCCA